GAATGGTCTCTCTATATCGGGGTGTCACCCCTCCCCCATCATCTCTGTATGTACAATGTTCTCTCTATGTTGGGGTGTCACCCCCCCCCCTCCCCCATCATATCTGTATGTAGAATGGTCTCTCTATATTGGGGTGTCACCCCTCCCCCATCATATCTGTATATACAATGTTTCTCTCTATAGTGGGGTGGGCTGGCCTGGAGGTTGAGATCTGAATGAAAAGAAAGAAACTCTTCTTGGCTTCAGAGTTGGGAGGAGTCCTTCCAGATTGAGGTTCAGGCTTCTCCTGCTGGGGATAGAAGACTTCTTACCACCCGTGATGTTCTTTATGGACCAAATCGATGTCACCATCAGAAGACATGAGCTGCAAAGCAATTTTTGGCATTGCTGTTCCACGGCCCAACATCCCAGACCAAGCTTTCTTCTCCATGGCCCAACATCCCAGACCAAGCTTTCTCCACGGCCCAACATCCCAGACCAAGCTTTCTTCTCCACGGCCCAACATCCCAGACCAAGCTTTCTCCACGGCCCAACATCCCAGACCAAGCTTTCTCCACGGCCCAACATCCCAGACCAAGCTTTCTCCACGGCCCAACATCCCAGACCAAGCTTTCTTCTCCATGGCCCAACATCCCAGACCAAGCTTTCTCCACGGCCCAACATCCCAGACCAAGCTTTCTTCTCCACGGCCCAACATCCCAGACCAAGCTTTCTCCACGGCCCAACATCCCAGACCAAGCTTTCTCCACGGCCCAACATCCCAGACCAAGCTTTCTCCACGGCCCAACATCCCAGACCAAGCTTTCTTCTCCATGGCCCAACATCCCAGACCAAGCTTTCTCCACGGCCCAACATCCCAGACCAAGCTTTCTCCACGGCCCAACATCCCAGACCAAGCTTTCTCCACGGCCCAACATCCCAGACCAAGCTTTCTCTACGGCCCAACATCCCGGACCAAGCGTTCTCCACGGCCCAACATCCCGGACCAAGCGTTCTCCACGGCCCAACATCCCGGACCAAGCGTTCTCCACGGCCCAACATCCCGGACCAAGCGTTCTCCACGGCCCAACATCCCGGACCAAGCGTTCTCCACGGCCCAACGTCCCGGACCAAGCGTTCTTCACGGCCCAGCATCCCAGACCAAGCGTTTTCCACGGCCCAACATCCCAGACCAAGCGTTCTCCACGGCCCAACGTCCCGGACCAAGCGTTCTCCACGGCCCAACGTCCCGGACCAAGCGTTCTCCACGGCCCAACGTCCCGGACCAAGCGTTCTTCACGGCCCAGCATCCCAGACCAAGCGTTCTCCACGGCCCAACATCCCAGACCAAGCGTTCTTCACGGCCCAACATCCCAGACCAAGCGTTCTCCTGAAGACAATCATGCGGGAAATAAAATGGACAACGTTGACTGGTCCACACATCTTAATGTTGGGCTGAAGGCATCATCTCTACGGATAGAAGGCCATCAACAACAGGAGCTGGATCCTTCTGTATAATCCATTCCCCTAAGGTCTGCCCAAGAATTTATAAAGGGGTTCCCAACATTTGTCAGTAAGATCCTTGAAGTCTTGTGCACCCCTAATCCAGGGGCGGACTGACAACTCATGGGGCCCCCGGGCAATAGGGGATCATGGGGCCCCTGTGTCCTTCCCAAACTAAAAAAAGAGCCTATAAAAAAGGTACCAGGGGCATCTCATGGGGCCCCCTACTGACCCCGGGCCCTTGGGCAGTGCCCGAGTTTCCAAATGGTCAGTCCGCCCCTGCTCCCAATTAGGTCAATGTTTTATTAGGTGGGAAATCGGCAGATCCAGCGGGGGAAGGGCTCACTTCTACATAAAGGCCAACGGAAATTGTTCAGTAAAACATTTGGACTAGTAGCACCCCCCGTAGAAGAAACAGGCTGCTCCCATCTTTAGGGTGACTCTCACCGCGTCCATCAGAATTAATATATTGTCTCTAAGCCTGGGAGCTACACGAGCCGACTGACGCTGGAAGAACAGACTCAGCCAATGAGAATTTCTCAGACTCTCCATTGAGGTGATCGGAGCCGTATTGGTGCCCTTACAACAGAAACAATCGGGTCCTGGCCATGATACTTTTTTTTTTTTTTCTTTTCACTAACATACAATTTGTAGGACAAGCTTTTGGGGTGTGTCCCCTTCAAGGTGGAAGCAGTACTCGTTGGACCTTGAAGGGGACACACCCTGAAAGCTTGTCTTGAAAATTGTATGTTGGTGCAAATAAAAAAAAAAAATATCATGGCCAGGACCCAATTGTTTCAGACCCTCCATCAAACAAAAGCATCTCCAGCAGAAGTGCCAGGAAGGTCCAGTGCATAGCAGTCCCTGGAGATCTCTGCATGATGCTGCTTGTGGCCCACGGCTGTGTGGATGGTCTGGACCTTGCTCCTTCTTCTGACTTGGTACCTCCTCCACCTGGCTGTAGCTGACTTGGTTCATCATAAGTATGGCTCTTCTCTTTGCACCTACAGCTTCCCGTGCCCACCCTGTGCAGCAGCTTCCTAGGTGGACCTGGTCCCATCATCACAGCTGCTCTCAGACGGTCATCTGCTCTTCTGCTGCCTCTGGACCCATTGAAGGCCTCCATGCCGCTCCTCGCCCTTGTTACACCCTTTCTACAATTCCAGGGGGTACTGGGCGGGGAGGAGTAAGGGACGCACCCTCATTATTATTCAGGATTTATGGCAGCAACAGTGTGCTCAGCGCTTTACAATATAACGGGAGACAATACAGCAACAATACAGATCAATACAAGAGGGTTAGGAGGGCCTGATCCTGGGAGCTTACAATCTAGGAGGGAGGGGCTAGTGATACAAAAGGTAGTAACTGTGGGGGATGGACTGGTTGGAAGAGTAGAAGATTCCAGTATTAGCTGAGGGCAGGAGAGGCTTCCCTGAAGAGATCTGTTTTCAGAGATCAAAGCATCAGGCCCCGACCGTTACAACCTTGGCAGACTGACTACACCAGGAATCTTAAACGACAAAGTCGCGTGTTGGAGCGATTGTGGCGTAAAACCAAATCTCAACAAGCATTCACCCGATATAAATCTGCTTTCTTCACATACAAGTCCTCTCTTCAGGCTGCTGAGTTTGAGGAAGTGGAGTGACATCCATGCCGATATGTCACTTAGTAGGTTACTAATGTGAGAGGAGACTGAAGGGGTGAGGTGAGGAGGAGACTGAAGGGGCGAGGTGAGGAGGAGACTGAAGGGGCGAGGTGAGGAGGAGACTGAAGGGGCGAGGTGAGGAGGAGACTGAAGGGGTGAGGTGAGGGGGAGACTGGAGGGGTGAGGTGAGGGGGAGACTGAAGGGGTGAGGTGAGGGGGAGACTGAAGGGGCGAGGTGAGGAGACTGAAGAGGTGAGGTGAGGAGGAGACTGAAGGGGCGGGCGAGGTGAGGAGACTGAAGAGGCGAGGTGAGGAGGAGACTGAAGGGAGGTGAGGAGGAGACTGAAGGGGCGAGGTGAGGAGGAGACTGAAGGGGCGAGGTGAGGAGGAGACTGAAGGGGCGAGGTGAGGAGGAGACTGAAGGGGCGAGGTGAGGGGGAGACTGAAGGGGCGAGGTGAGGGGGAGACTGAAGGGGCGATGTGAGGGGGAGACTGAAGGGGCGAGGTGAGGGGGAGACTGAAGGGGCGAGGTGAGGGGGAGACTGAAGGGGCGAGGTGAGGGGGAGACTGAAGGGGCGAGGTGAGGAGGAGACTGAAGGGGCGAGGTGAGGAGGAGACTGAAGGGGCGAGGTGAGGGGGAGACTGAAGGGGCGAAGTGAGGAGGAGACTGAAGGGGCGAGGTGAGGGGGAGACTGAAGGGGCGAGGTGAGGAGGAGACTGAAGGGGCGAGGTGAGGAGGAGACTGAAGGGGCGAGGTGAGGAGGAGACTGAAGGGGCGAGGTGAGGAGGAGACTGAAGGGGCGAGGTGAGGAGGAGACTGATAGATTTGTATGTCATCAGCATAGAGATGGTACTTAAAGCCATGGGAGTTTATCATGTGACCAGGGGAGGAGGTGTAGATGGAGAAGAGAAGGGATCCAAAGACAGAACCTTGAGGACCCCTACAGAGAGGGGGAGTGAAGAGGAGGTGGCAGCGTTATAGGTAATGCTGAAGGAGCGCTGCGATAGATAGGAGAACCAGGAGAGAGTGGAGTCTCTGAGGCCAAGAGAGTGGAGCTTATGGAGGAGGAGGGGGTGGTCAACAGTATCAAAAGCCACAGAGAGGTCAAGTAGTAAGAGCACGGAGTAGTGGCCATTGGTCGGGAGGAGCACGGAGTAGTGGCCATTGGTCGGGAGGAGCACGGAGTAGTGGCCATTGGTCGGGAGGAGCACGGAGTAGTGGCCATTGGTCGGGAGGAGCACGGAGTAGTGGCCATTGGTCGGGAGGAGCACGGAGTAGTGGCCATTGGTCGGGGGGCGCACGGAGTAGTGGCCATTGGTCGGGGGGCGCACGGAGTAGTGGCCATTGGTCGGGGGGCGCACGGGAGTAGTGGCCATTGGTCGGGGGGCGCACGGAGTAGTGGCCATTGGTCGGGAGGAGCACGGAGTAGTGGCCATTGGTCGGGAGGAGCACGGAGTAGTGGCCATTGGTCGGGGGGCGCACGGAGTAGTGGCCATTGGTCGGGAGGGGGGGGCGCACGGAGTAGTGGCCATTGGTCGGGGGGCGCACGGAGTAGTGGCCATTGGTCGGGGGGAGCACGGAGTAGTGGCCATTGGTCGGGAGGAGCACGGAGTAGTGGCCATTGGTCGGGAGGAGCACGGAGTAGTGGCCATTGGTCGGGAGGAGCACGGAGTAGTGGCCATTGGTCGGGGGGCGCACGGAGTAGTGGCCATTGGTCGGGAGGAGTACGGAGCAGTGGCCATTGGTCGGGATGAGTACGGAGTAGTGGCCATTGGTCGGGAGGAGTACGGAGTAGTGGCCATTGGTCGGGAGGAGTACGGAGTAGTGGCCATTGGTCGGGAGGAGTACGGAGTAGTGGCCATTGGTCGGGAGGAGTACGGAGTAGTGGCCATTGGTCGGGAGGAGTATGGAGTAGTGGCCATTGGTCGGGAGGAGTACGGAGCAGTGGCCATTGGTCGGGAGGAGTACGGAGTAGTAGTGGCCATTGGTCGGGAGAGAGTACGGAGTAGTGGCCATTGGTCGGGAGGAGTACGGAGTAGTGGCCATTGGTCGGGAGGAGTACGGAGTAGTGGCCATTGGTTGGGAGGAGTATGGAGTAGTGGCCATTGGTTTTAGCAGTTAGTAGATCATTAGTGAGGTTTAGTAGGGCAGTGTCAGTGGAGTGTAGTGAGGGAAAGCCAGACTGTGAAGGGTGAAGAAGGTTGTTGTCGGTGAGGGAGGAGCTCTGGAGATTGTAGACTAAGCGTTCTTGGAGTTTAGAGGTAAATGGCAGCAGGGAGATGGGTGTTAAGTTGTTCAGGTTGGTGGGGTCCAGGGGGAACTTGTTAAGTATGGGAGTGATGTGTGAATGCTTTAGATGGGAGGGGAAGGCACCAGTAGAGAGGGAGAGATTGAAGATGTGAGTGAGGGAGCATAGGATGGAAGAAGAGGCTGACCGTAGTAGTTGTGAGGGGACAGGATCCAGGGGGCAGGTAGTGAGACGGGCTTCTGAGAAAAACCTTAGTGACCTCTTCGGTAGTAGAAGGTCAGAAGAGGAAAGTGTTGAGGGAGGATAAGTATGAGGAATGCTAAGTGGGATGGATGTCTGTGCAGTGGAGATGTCCCTACGGATGGCATCAATCTTGTTTTTGAAATGATTTGCAATCTCGTGAGCAGTGAGTGAGGTGCTGGGTGGAGGTGGAGAAAGTAGAGAGTTAAAAGTAGAGAAGAGATGACGAGGACTGGATGAGAAGGTGCAGCATGGAGGGAGGAATTGTATGTGACGAGAGCAGATTTATATCAGGTGAATGCTTCTTGAGATTTGGTTTTACACTCATCCACTCTGCCTCTACCAGGTAAGTGACCAGACGACTCCGAGGGCCGCTACAGGTGTAAGAATGTCAGGTAAAGTACCTGTAGGTTGAAGGACGCAGGAATGCCAAATGTTATTAGGTTATTTCTACTGAATTGTTTTAGTGATTTTGAACACAAAAAAAAAAAAATATATATATATATAGCATTTGGCCAATAAGAACCAGGAACTTCCTACAATACACAGCACCATCTAGTGGACAACTGTTGTAAATGCTGTTTTATATCATCAAAAAACCATTCGACTAGCCCCCTGCAGCAGCCACCTACAGTATACACTCCCCTTGCACCCATGCGTCTGAGCTCATCTCCACTCATCAAAAGAGACAAAACCCCTCCCTAAAGAGGACCTGTCAATGCTTAATACTTTCACAAGGGATGGTATGCATTGCTTGTCATAACAAAAAAATAAAGTTAAAGCACCCCCCCCTCCATTCTCTTCCCCCCCCCCCCCCCCATGCTCATGTGTACATGCAAACACATAGGAAAGGGCTGCATGCATGTCAATGGGGACCACTGCAACCCTCAGAGAGCACTCACTTTAACTCCAGACCTCCTGTGTAGCTCTAAACTAGTAACCTGGATAAGCGTTAAAATGATGTACGCTTGTATAACAATCGCCGTGACACTTTAAAGCGCGACATTTGGTATCGATTTACTATTTTGTCAAGAAATTGGATCTCAAGATGGCAACAAATATAATCAAAAAGGAAGCGAACTCCAAGTATAGACACCACCTCACCCCCAGGCCAATAAAATTCTCATGTGGGTGTAAAAAAAAAAATCAGCATTTTTTGTTTTGGTGGAAAATTACTTTGAGCCCCCAAACATATGTATGTGTTTGGGGGTTCTAAGCAGGGACAGACTCACAACTCATGGGGCCCCTGTGTCCTTGCCCACACAAAAAAAAAGTACCAGGGGCATTCCATGGGGGCCCCCTACTGACCCCAGGCCCTTAGGCAGTGCCTGAAGGGTCAGGCTCCCCCTGGTTCCAAGTAATTTTCCACCAAAAAAAAAAAAAGCAGATTTTTACACCCATGTGAGAACTCTTCTAATTGGCCTGGGGGGGAGGCGGTGTCTATACTTGGACTTCGCTTCCTTTTTGATTACATTTGTTGCCATCTTGCGTGTTTATTCGATGCGCCCGACACAAACGCAGCCTTGTCCCTTTGTGTCACCTGATCTGCTTGGTGTCCTTGTTTCCACAACACGAGGATGAAGCTTTTCCTCCTCACATCCGGGGACTGTTGTGTGTAAATAATGAGGATTCCATCCATGGGCTCCGATTTCTGGAATCCGAATGGGGGAACACAACGCACCTCACCGTCCCAGAACAGGAGATTCCATAACTAAGCGTCAGATCGGGAGACGTGGAAGAGAAGCTACAGAGTCACCCAGAGGGACCCTTAAGATGGCAATAAGCTGCTCTCAATCATCCGTTTAACACCAATGGACACATTTTCTGTAGAACAATTAATTATCTTTATTAGAAGTCCATTTATAGCAGAACAGACCCCCATCCACTCCGCAAAGTTACTCCACAACTGCCATCTACATTTTTTACCGCCCATTCATAAACGCAGGCCATGGAATACTACGGCATTCTCACTTACCGCAGCAGAAAGCCTCTGATTGGAGGAGAGGCCGGTAACTTCCCCCACCACCCCCTCCTCCATGTCAAGGGATATCATCCATGCATTGCAATACTAACAGGTTTATTCAGTCCTGCGTTGTGGTGCATTGGTGGTCTGTTTAAAATTAAATTTGTTTTTTGGTATTTTGGTAAAATGTCCAAAAAAAAAAAAAAAAAAAAAAAAAACACACACCCCACAAAACAATGCACATCAATAAACAAGTGTCCAATCAGTCCTTGGAGAGGTGCCCCCCCCCCCAGGAGGATTCTCTGATGTGGTGACATCAAATTGGATCCTTCAAGTGGAACTCCACAAAAAAACCCACAAAACTAAAACCCCACCACACACATACCACAGACGGTCTGCCAAAAACAAACTTTTTGGGTAAGCTGGGTCAGTTGAGAGGCATCACCCCCAATGGAGTCATCTAGGCAATCACAGCAGAAGTTCCCCCAACCTTCAGGGACACATCACAGATCCCAGGAGGCTGCGGGTCCATTCACAGGGTGCAGAGTGGCACTACCTTTGAAGCCCCCAAAGTCCTATCCAGCTTCTCTCAGTCAACATGGCGGTGTCAGGGACCCGAGTGCCAGTGAAGAAGCTGCCCCGGTGAGGACAGCCCTGGATACCTGACTGGAGAGGACCCTTTATGAAAAGGTCAGCAGCTACAGGATTTGTATTATTTTGGATAAAACCACCAAAATTTCATGGATTCCAGTGGCAACATCTGAATTTTTTTTGGGTTTAGATTTCCAAAAGGCCTCTGGAGACAGGCTTCCCCAAAGGTCACTTACACCTTCTATCACCTCCTGCCATTACCTGGGCACCTTAGATGGACCACCAGATCCCACCTTTCCGAGTATCCTTTTTAGAATTTCTATAGTAAGTGGCTGTTTCTGGACCCATCTCTTCAATGAAGGCCAGCAGCTTCCAAACATACAGCAATAAAAACTGAATGGGATTCCAACTCCCCACTAAGGACAAGCTTGGTTTTGGTCCAAAATGGGGTTCAGAGTGAACCCAGAAAGATGCTGCCACTCCCACCCACAATAGTTGTTAGGGTGTCCCCCACCAGCAGCTGCATGTATACAGAGGAGCGGGGATGCCCAATACAGCCATGTATGAGCAGCTACAGGGATCGCCCTGGACCCAGTCGACCCATATTCAGACCAAAGCCGAGCTCCTCCCACTATGAGACTCTGGCTTCAGCCTTAGGACCTGCAATCAAATGTTGGGCGCCTTGATGAGTTACATTAGGCTAAGAACTATTAAAAGAAAGTTTCCCCAACATTTCCCATTGCTGCTCTGTGCCGGCTGTCCCATGTACTGGTAAAAAGTCTCCTCTTCTCTCTGTATTGCTTCCTTTGTGTGAAATCCCCGGTGATCCTGCCAGCCCCTCTGCTTTCCTATGAAAAACTGACCACACTATGATGGATGAGCACTCATGCCTAGTGTGGTCAGATTTCTTACTGTGCTGGGAGAACAGGTTGCCTGTCCTTCACTGGTCAGACTTGCGCTGACTCTCACTGCTGCCCCCTCCACAGCCATTCACTGGGAAGATCAGTGTACTGCTTTTTCTACACTGAATGGGTTATTTTACATATACTTGAGCCTTGTTTCTATGCATTTGTTCACAGAGGCAGACAAAAGGCCATCCCCATGCAGGGCTGCTGTTAGAAGTTTAGACCCCTGGTATTTCAGCGGGGCCCCATGATTTCTGAAACAGGAATTGAGGACATCAGTCCCCAATCCTCCACATCCTCAGCTGCACTGCAGAGTGAATGAACACGAAGTGCTCTGTACAGCGGCACCTTTTCATTTACAAATCGAAGCATAGTAAACATCCCGTGTGCCCACAGCAACTGACGGGAGAGGGAAGCTGGCAGGGCTGTGGGGGCACACAGGGGGGCCTGGCAGAAAGTGGAAGAGGATATTGGATGAGAGCAGAACTGTCCTCTGCAGCAGCTGAAAGCCGGCTTCTCCTCCTCTGCAGCAGCTGAAAGCCGGCTTCTCCTCCTCTGCAGCAGCTGAAAGCCGGCTTCTCCTCCTCTGCAGCAGCTGAAAGCCGGCTTCTCCTCCTCCTCTGCAGCAGCTGAAAGCCGGCTTCTCCTCCTCTGCAGCAGCTGAGCAGCCGGCTTCTCCTCCTCTGCAGCAGCTGAAAGCCGGCTTCTCCTCCTCTGCAGCAGCTGAAAGCCGGCTTCTCCACCTCTGCAGCAGCTGAAAGCCGGCTTCTCCACCTCTGCAGCAGCTGAAAGCCGGCTTCTCCACCTCTGCAGCAGCTGAAAGCCGGCTTCTCCACCTCTGCAGCAGCTGAAAAGCTTCCGGCTTCTCCCACCTCTGCAGCAGCTGAAAGCCGCTTCTCCACCTCTGCAGCAGCTGAAAGCCGGCTTCTCCTCCTCGCCCCCTCCAAACAGCTCAGCTGCTGCAGGGAATCACACAGGGATAGGTTCCTGTAATTACCCCCCAACTGCACCAATCACCCCCTATCCTGTCCATGATCAGTTTCCATCTTCTGCCTGGGCCCCACTGAACTGGTTGGCCCCCCATACAGGAGGACCGGCTGCACCCCCTTATCGGTGGCCCTGCTCTGAGGCAAAGTATTGATGGGCTTTTGCTTGTATCAGAATTCTTCCCACACAAGTCAATGTGAACACCAAAGTGGTCTGAAGCCGGTTCATTCAGCTCAAGTCAAGTGCACGGGTCATCCGATGTCAATTGTAAACCCCACACATGAAGGCACGTTTCCTCAATTCTACCCCACCAACCACATCCCCTCCTCACTCCTCAGCCAATCAATACTGCCTGTCCTGGTCAGCTCCCCCGATAGGAACATCTCAGTCTGGAGGATTGGTGCAAAGTTACATTTCCCTGGATCTGCTTGAACCCCTCCATAGTCTGTGGACCACGACGTCCCAATTGATGGTCTCTGCCCGGCTTAGAACCTTCCAGAAGGTCTTCCAGAGAACGGAAAGACGGGACAGCAGATAGAACAAAACACAAACCTTTAATAAAATGAATTTGGGTATTTTACATCATCTTTTCTTGGCCTTTAAAACATGGAGGTACAAAAACAATTTATTGTTATAAATAACACATTAACAAAAAATCAAAAAATATAAAACCCAAATTGTGAGCTGTGGGGGAGAATGCGCAGGAGGAGGTTTGTCTTTTCAAAAAGGGAATCCCCCCCCCTCCACCAAAAAATCGCATGGAAACCCAAATTGTTAAAGTGAAACTCCAACCAAACTGCTTGGGAAGGTTTAGGATGGCCAATGATTTCACGGCAGTTTGTGTCCCTGTTGGGGAGATTTTCTCCTTACTTCCCGTCTATCACCACCAGGACAGGAAGGGAGGAGAAATTCTAAAAGAAAAAAAAGAAAAAAGCCATAAAATTCATCCACATTAGAGGAGAAAAAACAAACACCTTAGTAGTGAGGGCGAGCCTACAACCTCCATAATCTCCAATCTCCACTGACACCAGGACAGGAAGTTGAGGGAAATCTCTCTAATGGGGACAAACCGCTCCTTCTCTACTCCGTCCAGAGCCAAGTCCTTTGGCTGGAGCTGCACCAATCTTCATTTAGTCCACCAGCAAAGTTTGGAAAAATGTTTAGTGATCCTGCCTTTATCACGGGTGCAAAGTATTTCCAGTGTGGTCACATTTCCCCCCAATGCAAAGCAAAGCGAAAAAAACAAACAAAAAACCAAAACAAATCTTTCTCCAGACATCCCAGGGCACACGGGAACATCTGAAAACGTACAACCAACTTACAGGTTGAATCCAGTGTTAAAAAAAAGGTTTGTCTACAGAAAACATCCAAGAGAAGCTCAAATGCCAAAATAAGGAGGTTGGGGGGGGGGGGGGGCTAAAAACAAACAAAACAACGTTCGTTCAAAACAAAAAAAAAAAAAAAAAAAAAAAAAAATTAAAGTTCTAGGAATTCCAAGTTCAAACCAACGTCTGGAGGAGTGGTGCTAATATCAGTTTTAAAAGTTCCAAGATTAAAACATCAAGTCTATGCAGGATGGATGGATGGATGGATGGATGGATGGATGAGAAGGCACGGGTCTCGACTCTTCCTGAAATCTTAACGTTGAACAAGGCTGACCCAATCCTCAGATTGCAGCTTGTAGCAGGCACGGAGCTTGGAGGGTCTAGTGGTCTCTTGTGGCACCATGCCAAGAACGGAGCCTGGAGGGTCTAGTGGTCTCTTGTGGCACCATGCCAAGAACGGAGCTTGGAGGGTCTAGTGGTCTCTTGTGGCACCATGCCAAGAACGGAGCCTGGAGGGTCTAGTGGTCTCTTGTGGCACCATGCCAAGAACGGAGCTTGGAGGGTCTAGTGGTCTCTTGTGGCACCATGCCAAGAACGGAGCCTGGAGGGTCTAGTGGTCTCTTGTGGCACCATGCCAAGAACGGAGCTTGGAGGGTCTAGTGGTCTCTTGTGGCACCATGCCAAGAACTGGCTAAGGACTAAAGCACATTTCATGCCGGCAGCCATATATACAAAGTAAGGCATTGTGTGTTCTCCAGTACTTGCCAAGCACAGAATCAAATTGTATGTATGTATGTATGTGTATGTATGTATGTATGTATGTATGCATGTGTGTGTATGTATGTATGTATGTGTATGTATGTATGTATGTGTCTAAGGCGATTGGTCATTAGTTCCTGTAGGACAACCGTCTTCCCGAGACCTCAGTCGTCTTCTCCTCCATACATATCCGCCAGCTTCCGGAAACGGGGGCCCCAGTTGTTCAAGCAGTCATAGTCCTGGTCAATGTCGGAATTGGAGGAGTTCAGGGAGCTGAGGGAGGCGGCCTCTGACCCGCTGCCTTCGTAGTCGAAGACCAGGAGGGAGTCGTAGGGTGGGGCGGTGGGGTCGTTATCGGCAGCAATCAGGTTCTGAAAAAGAAAGAAAACACACAATTAGAGTAAAACAACAACTTCAACTCCAATTTGCGATCGTGCGTCAAAGTCTGCAAATACATCTAATGGGCGACAGAAATAGAACGAGGCTTCCAGGAGACAGGAGAGCATTAAGCCCGGAATGTTCCGTCAGCTTCTTCTTCAGAGGTAATTTTTGCTGTTAATGAGGCAGAGAATCCATTAAGTAGCTTCCCGTCATAAGTGGCCCCGGACAGTTCCCTGTAATGTCCACTCACAGGAAATGGATATTTAACCCTTCCATACCAGGTCTGGCTGCGCTTAGTGATGGACTCGCAACCCCGGGCGAAGACTAGCGACCCCGGGGGCTGAGAAATCTTCTAGGGCCTCGAGTGCGATCTCCATGGCCGGGTCTACACACCAATGGACGCACTGGCACTGCAAGGCCCTTCCATCCCAACAGCGCAGATCATGGATGTAGTCACCTTCGTATAATCTGCCAGAGAACAATCGTCCAACATGCCGGCCAGAACGCCTTCAGGGACAACCACCTCTCATCCACCTCCATCCCACTTATACCCACCTTGCTTCTTCATCCAGGGCTACTGTTAGAAACCATGGGGCCCCAAAAAAAGCCAACCTGACAAGCCCCCCCCCCCCAAAAAAAAAATAGTATGCTTCAGTTATGAACACCATGAGTGATTGGTGATATTTACCAGACCCTTCCCCCACTCTCCATCCTGAAGGATCCTATTGGGTGCCGGCAGCTGCCGATAGGAAGAAGGAAGCTGGCAGCACTGCGGGGGTGGGGGGCACACAGGGGGCCTCTTCAGCAGGGGGAAAGCACAAGGTGTACAGGGAGGGTGATGGGTGCGGCGAGGGGGCAATTACTGGAACTGATCCCCTGTATGGCTCTTCTCTGTAGCAGTTGATAGCCAGCAGGAGGGAGAGACTCAATCAGCCGCTGCAGAGAAGAGCCATACAGGGGGATCCGTTCCAGTAATTGCCCCCCTGCTGCTGTGCCGGTCACTCTCCTCAGCTGCTTGGACCCTGTACTGGAGGTGCCCCCTAATCCACAGCCCTGCCTCAGTCACTCCAGGAATCAACCCATACACATGATGGTGGTCAGACTCGGCCATTGGCTGTTAGGACGGAACACTGAAAGCACAGGGGGCATTATGGCAACGCCCTGGTCTGCCAGGGGAATGTGACGAAGGAAGGTGGGTCATGGGTGGGCTTTAAAGAGACCCTGTCACCAATATATAAATTAGGTTAAAAAAAAAAAAAAAAAAAATTAAAATACTGGAAATGTCCAATTAGTTTCCTTACACTGTGCCTTTGATAGTCCCCTAGCTCAGCCAGTCCAACCCCCCCCCCCCCCCCCCCGGCATCATATCCCTCCACCACCACCACCCCCCCGCATGTCCCCCCCCCCCCCCCCCCCAACCCATATATTTCCCCCACATCATATCTCCCTGCCCCCCCCCCCCCCCCATCATATCCCTCCAACCCCCAACATCAAATCCCTCCACCCCATCATATCCCTCCACCACCACCCCCGCATGTCCCTGCCCCCCCCCCCCCCCCCAACCCATATTATATCCCCCCCCCCCCCCCCCACCCCACATATCCCTCCCTTCCTCCCAGTTTTATTGTCAAAGCATCATTGGACAAGCTGGTTTCTATGAAGAGCTGAACCAGACTTTAGTAAATCTCCTCCATGGTGTCATCTGCAGACCCCTTTAGAAAGCCCAGGGTCCTCACATGGAGGTCAAACCAGCCCAGCCATTTCCCTGCAAAAAAGTGAACTTACCTCATCAATAAAGTTCCCGATCTCATCAGGGTTGGACGGCCGTGGTCTGTACTGAGGTGCCGGCATCAACGTAGGAACCACATCGTTCCTCATGACGTCGGGTCGAGCATCTAGGCCTCGGTGGAGCTGACTCAAGTCATAGTCCTGAGAAAGACAAACGCTTGTCACAAACCGGCAGCAATGGGCCAACCCTAGAGAAGTCTTATATCTCCAAACATTTCATAACTCACCTGATCTTCCTCCCCACCACCCTCCTCTCCATAGTAGAAGATGTTGTCCCTGGTGTCATCTTCAGGGAGCAGTAAGGGTTCCTTCACCACCTTCTTCCTCCTCAAGAAGAGCAGCAACAGGAGAATAAGAACTGCAAGAGGAGAAGATCATCCATTATCATCCACTGGTCGGTGCATGGATGGGGAGCGCCAACAGACCTCATCCTGAGGAACGGCCATGGATCTCCATCTCTTCAGGGAGAGCACAAGACTTTTCCCCCATCTATTCAGGATTAATTCAATTCCTCCCCCCCCCCCATTCCATTCAGCAACAATTCTCCCCCCCCCCACCCACCAGGAGCCCCTGTACTGGGGAGCAAAGATTCCCAGCGCCCCTCAGCTAACATACAATGTGCCCTGATCTGTAAAACTGAATATAAAGTGACTCCGTCCTGAGGAGGTACATGCACTACTGTAAAAAAAAAAAAAAAAAAAATAAATGAAAAAGAAAAAAAAAAAAAAAAAAACCCCCCCACACAGATAGCCGGCCACAGCCAGAAAGTGTGCAAAACAATGTAAACGAGGGTTAAGCTGGCCATTTGGCTCACACTGATCCTAGATTTTGTGTTATGCAAAAACAGAAGGAAAAAAAAAGCCACCCCAGATCATTCCCAAAATCAAAACTTCTCAGCAATGTGTTCTGCTCACAATCTTCTAGCAATCCCAACCAGTTGGCTGAAAGCCTCACAGCAACCATTGTCAATGGTGGGAGCCTCCAGTTGATGGTTTATGGCCGAAGTCTCCAAACATTCTAAACAAAAAGGGCCAGTTTATTGGCCTTCAGACTATAGGAAGGCTGGACTCTGACCAGGAGGAGTGGAATCTTAATGGTATCAGTGGGAGTATACATTGCCCCATCTGGTAGAGAGGAATTCGGGTGGGGGGGAATCGTGCCCCGGCAATCGGTGTCAGTGGGGGGGATGCCCCATCATTGGTGTCGTGCCCCATCATTGGTGTCAGTGGGAGGAGTAGTGCCCCATCATTGGTGTCAGTGGGAGGAGTAGTGCCCCATCATTGGTGTCAGTGGGAGGAGTAGTGTCCCATCATTGGTGTCAGATGGAGGAGTAGTGTCCCATCATTGGTGTCAGATGGGAGGAGTAGTGTCCCATCATTGGTGTCAGATGGAGGAGTAGTGTCCCATCATTGGTGTCAGATGGAGGAGTAGTGTCCCATCATTGGTGTCAGTGGGAGGAGTAGTGCCCCATCATTGGTGTCAGTGGGAGGAGTAGTGCCCCATCATTGGTGTCAGTGGGAGGAGTAGTGCCCCATCATTGGTGTCAGTGGGGGAGTAGGACCTATTTTTGGCTTCAGTGGGAGAAATGTCCCAATGTTGGGGTCTGTTGGCAGAATAGTCCTATCAATGCCCCAAGAGCCTGATAAAGGCAAACCAAGGGCCACATCTGGCCCTTGGGCTGCAGGTTGGAGACCACTAGTTGATGGAAAAGTGTTGGACGTGTCGAGACGACAGACAGGTAAAGGAATACAGCGAATTGGATCAATACGTTGTCAGAACTTACTCAGCAGAGCCAGAATGGACCCCAGAATGACCAAGATGATTGGCAGATCGCTCCTGTCCATGTATTTGTCGCTACAGCTGACGGTGTTCCCCTCGCAGTTGCAGATGGTTGCGTTCACCACGGTGAGCTGAGATAGTCTGTGAGCGTCGTACAAACGAACGTACACAACGTAATCCCCGGGCTTCAGCTCCTCCTTGGGTACCAGAGTCATCGAAGCTGCGGGAAGATTCCATTGACAATGTTATATACCCGGGGGGGACAGACACACACGACACGGGGGGGGGGGGGGGGGGGGGGGGGGGGGGGGGGGGGGGGGGGGGGGGGGGGGGGGGGGGGGGGGAGGGGAGGGGAGACACAGATACACCCAAGGGGGACAGACACACGGGGGGGGGGGTATAGAGGCAGACACACCCTTCCACCTTGTATTTCCATGTACTTTTCCTGCAGTCTGTCCCCATCCGGGAGGAGGCCTCCCGTCCCCATCCGGGAGGAGGCCTCCCGCCGCCTCCCGTCCCCATCCGGGAGGAGGCCTCCCGCCGCCTCCCGTCCCCATCCGGGAGGAGGCCTCCCGCCGCCTCCCGTCCCCATCCGGGAGGAGGCCTCCCGCCGCCTCCCGTCCCCATCCGGGAGGAGGCCCTCCCGCCGCCTCCCGTCCCCATCCGGGAGGAGGCCTCCCGCCGCCTCCCGTCCCCATCCGGGAGGAGGCCTCCCGCCGCCTCCCGTCCCCATCCGGGAGGAGGCCTCCCGCCGCCTCCCGTCCCCATCCGGGAGGAGGCCTCCCGCCGCCTCCCGTCCCCATCCGGGAGGAGGCCTCCCGCCGCCTCCCGTCCCCATCCGGGAGGAGGCCTCCCGCCGCCTCCCGTCCCCATCCGGGAGGAGGCCTCCCGCCACCTCCCGTCCCCATCCGGGAGGAGGCCTCCCGCCACTTCCCGTCCCCATCCGGGAGGAGATCTCCCGCCACTTCCCGTCCCCATCCGGGAGGAGATCTCCCGCCACTTCCTGTCCCCAGTTCAGGAACTTGGGGTAATTCTTCCCAGACAACAGGGTGGGAAATTCAACCCCCTCCACCCCCCCCCCCTCCAATTGAAAAACTAAATTTTGGCTGGTGGGGGGGGGGGGGGTTCAGGGAAGCCTCTTGTTGCAATGATTCAGTTCTCTAGATCATACCTTTTCCTTTCATCTCGGCCCTCCAGGTGAGTTCGGACCCGTGGCTCAGCTCCAAGTCATACGGGTCGGTGTTTGGAGGAAGGTCGGCGTCGCTGATTGTCAGCTCATATGGCTCGGGGTTCTTGCTGCACATGGCGAAGGATCGCGGATTGGGGACAGGACCGTTGTCATTGATATCTCCCACCTGTAAGATGAGGGTACCGGTGCCGGTGGCAAAGGGAATACCTGCGGGAACAGCAACAAGAATTCTAGAATGTTCTGGAGGACAAAGCCGCAGCAGAAGGAGGAACAGGACGCCATTTGCAATCAATCCCAACAGTCCAATTCTCCATACATGCAGTAAAGCAATTTCTCCATCTTGAAACCACGGATTGTAGGAAAGAATTGGATCTTTTCATCTCTTGTAAATCTACTTTAGAGGTTGGCGGTAAAAGTGGCGAATCTTACCATCATCAATCACCATCAGGATGATCATATACGTGTTATTCTTCACATATTCCGACTCTCTATCCAGGTTGCCATTGCTGGTGATGATGCCGGTGTCTTCATTCACAGAGACCCACTTGGCCGGGTCATTCCCAATTTTGTACCTGAATGGAAGGGGAGAACAAAAGTCGAGTAAATCAGGATGGGGACAATGGCTGATAGGACTGCAGCAACGTTCCGAAACCCTACCAAGGGACACGTGGAGGACTGCAGCAACGTACCAAAACCCTACCAAGGGACACGTGGAGGACTGCAGCAACGTTCCGAAACCCTACCAAGGGACACGTGGAGGACTGCAGCAACGTTCCGAAACCCTACCCAGGGACACGTGGAGGACTGCAGCAACGTACCGAAACCCTACCCAGGGACACCTGGAGGACTGCAGCAACGTACCGAAACCCTACCCAGGGACACTGGAGGACTGCAGCAACGTACCGAAACCCTACCAAGGGACACGTGGAGGACTGCAGCAGAAACCCTACCAAGGGACACGTGGAGGACTGCAGCAACGTACCAAAACCCTACCAAGGGACACGTGGAGGACTGCAGCAACGTTCCGAAAACCCTACCCAGGGACACGTGGAGGACTGCAGCAACGTTCCGAAACCCTACCAAGGGACACGTGGAGGACTGCAGCAACGTACCGAAACCCTACCCAGGGACACGTGGAGGACTGCAGCAACCGAAACCCTACCCAGGGACACGTGGAGGACTGCAGCAACGTACCGAAACCCTACCCAGGGACACGTGGAGGACTGCAGCAACGTACCGAAACCCTACCAAGGGACACGTGGAGGACTGCAGCAACGTACCGAAACCCTACCAAGGGACACGTGGAGGACTGCAGCAACGTTCCGAAACCCTACCAAGGGACCGTGGAGGACTGCAGCAACGTACCGAAAAGGGACACGTGGAAAACCCTACCAAGGGACAGTGGACTGCAGCAACGTTCCGAAACCCTACCAAGGGACACGTGGAGGACTGCAGCAACGTTCCGAAACCCTACCAAGGGACACGTGGAGGACTGCAGCAAACGTACCGAAACCCTACCAAGGGACACGTGGAGGACTGGACTGCAGGGCACACGTACTGCGAAACCCTACCAAGGGACACGTGGAGGACTGCAGCAACGTACCGAAAAGACCCAAGCGTGGAGGATAAGAAGCCCGAAGAGTTTCATGATGTCCAGGTGACACTGACGCCATTACGGCTGATGTGGGTATCGCACTAAATACGGAAAGTCTTGCCTTCAGTGCTGGTCACATGTCCTATGGTGCTGCGATTTCTGACGAGGGGGGTGCGGGGGAGGGGGGGGGGGGGGGGGGGTCAGGGTATAGATTGGTTAATTCCATCCTTTAACATTAAAAGTCACTACCAATTTTGGCTTGTGAATTTTATATCACTTTATGAGCCGTTGCCCAGCCCATGCAATTCAGGTGACAAGGGGTCTTCCACCTTCCTCCCCCAAATCCCCTTCCCCCACTCTCCCCACCAACACACCTACAATTGGCAGACCCCAGTTCTGGCAACCAAGGAGAAGCAGAATCACTCCCTGAGACTGTACTCGGTCCTGGCGATTGTGACCTTCCGACTGTCTCGGTCTCTCAGCCAAGCTCAGCCATACCCAGTAGGGTTGGTGTTGTCACCCGCTGCGGAGGAGATGCAGGAGGGGAGCACTTGTAGAAGGCATGTGCAATGGGGATGCCGCCTGCGTGGGTAAGGGACGGTCCCTTGGAGAAGACCTGCAATTCCATGACAGAGGATGCTTTAAGGTTTTAAAAATGAGCCAAACCCACATGGTCTGCAAGAAGAAACATCGGCCATCCTAGTCCTGGTATAAAAGTAAAAACCAACATGTCCCATCATCCTCCAGCGCTCTCAAGCCATAACATGTATGATCAACAATCTTCTCACATGTGAACCGTATGAAGGAAGCTCAGCTGATCAGGACAATGGGCCACCAACTTGTCTGTTCCTCTCAGATGACTCAAGTCTGTCAGCTGGAAATCCGACATATCGGCATGGAATGAAGAAGAAAGGTCAATGTCTGGTAACCGCTTGGTGTCCTCATCGGGGTGCCTCCCATATCTTTGCCAATTGCAGTTTTTTGAAGGTTGTCAAGGCTGCCATCTAGCCATACAGTCAGATTACACTTCACGTTTTCCGAGAACGTTGTCATCATACAGACGATGTTTAGTAGGGTTGCACTGATCCTGATCATGGATTCCTCTGCGGTGCGATCTGAGCCCTTACAAAAATGGATGAACTCATTTTGTATGGCCCAAACCTCACTGTACCCACATGAAAACCGCATGCGATTTGGATAGGAATCACTATTTCTGAAAAACAAAAAACCCCACGTGATTCTTTGCAGTGCGATTTGAGCAAGTTCATTTTGTACGGGTTCAAATCACACTGCAAAAGGCATTGGAGCATGTGCCGGAGTACGGTGCCACCCAAAGGTTCAGCCTCCATTACATACGGCCGCAGACATGCTTTACCTGAGTTTCTGGTTTTGCTGCTTATCGGGGTCCTGGGCAACCAGCGCAATGATCTTCTCCCCCCGAGGAAGGTTCTCCAACACCTCCTGCCGGCTGACAGCAGGAACAAAGAACGGGGCCTCGTTCACATCCTCCACGTTGACCGTGACTGTGGCTGTTGATGTCGGCAAGGGGACGGTGAACGGGTCCTGGTTCTCCACGGTGATCTGCAGCACAAACTGCTTCCGGGTCTCAAAGTCCAAACCCTACAAAACAGAGAAAGATGGAAATACAGATACATGGCCACATGGTTTTCCATGCCGGTGGTGCCAGCTGCCTGGAGGTGTTCCTGAACAGCCATGCTGGGCGTCACTGAAGTCTACATTCTGACCTAAATTACATGGTTCTCCAACGTCTCCACCCGTCCTATATTCCAGACAGCTGACGTCACCTTCTTAAAGAACTGACAAATTGGACTGAAAACTACAGCAGTCGTACACCAGAGGTGGCCCAGACTCCAGCGATTCCGGCAATGAGAGATACTGGAGAGTTGAGAGATTCGCATTGGGAAGACGGTCATGGTATTGTATGTCCGCCGTTCCAGCACATGGGATGTTAAAACGCAGCAGAAGGGCACCAAAAGGCCAGAGGCGCGAGAGAGTCAGGCGAGAGTCAGAAGACGAGATGGAACAATGGGGATTTCTGTACAGAGAGCTGTGAGAACAGAGGAACCGGTACCAGACCCGACCAACACCGAACATCCGGCCCAGTGCAAAAATCGGCTTAAAAAAAAACAAAAAAACAAAAACACAATACTAAACCCAATACATTTCCTCAACACATGCAGATTGAGGATGTGATGCCTTAACCCCCCCCCCCCCCACCACTACCCCCCTGAGGGGCCAACATATACCCCACCCTCCATTGCAACCTTCCCAGTACCCCTGCCCCCCAAAACCTTTCCTGGTGATGACCTGATATGAACCCCTTTCTGCCCAGCATACGTATACAAACATCCGGGGCGGGAAGGACTTTTATCAGGAGTATGGCTGCAGCACTATCCCGGTATCTTTAACTCCTCGCCCACCAGACACTGCCGCCCCCCTCCCCGCCCACCGGGCACTGCCGCCGCCCCCCGGGGGCACTGCCGCCCCCCCTTCCCTGCTGCTACCCCCTCCCCCCCCCGGGGCCGCACCCACTGCCGCCCCCCTTCCCTGCCCCCACTGCCGCCCCCCTTGGCAGCCTGCACCGGACACTGCCGCCCCCCTTCCCTGCCCAGGCACTGCTGCCTACAGCCCCCTTCCCACCGGGCACTGCCGCCCCTTCCCTGCCCACTGGGCACTGCTGCCCCCCTTCCCACCGGGCACTGCCGCCCCCCTTCCCACCGGGCACTGCCGCACACCCTTCCCTGCCCACTGGGCACCGCTGCCCCCCTTCCCACCGGGCACTGCCGCACCCCTTCCCTGCCACTGGGCACACTGCCGCCCCCAATTCCCTGCCACCGGCACTGCAGCTTTGCTCAGCCAATTTACAGCTTTCAGTGTTTGCACTTTGAATGACAATTGCGCGGTCATGCAACACTGTAGCCATAGGAAATTTGTAGAATTTTTGGATGGTATTTAAATCGCTGCCAGGGGGGATTATTTTTTTGGGGGGAAAAAAAAAAAAAAAAAAAAAAACAACAACACACAGAATTTTAAAAAAGTCGGTTTCTATTATACAATTTTGTAAACAGGTAATTTTTCTCCTTCACTGATATGCGTTGCGGGGGCAGTGATCATCGCCCTGATTGGTTCCGATCGTCCTCTGACAATTGCCGGTTCTCGGCAGTACTTTCACATTGACAATGTGGGGAAAGTGCAGCCAACAACCGGCAACTGCATTTACCGGTGATCAGGGGTGTCATTGGACACGGCTGATCATGTGGTAAAAAGGCCGCTGTGATTGGCATTGTACCACATCATGTGATCAGCTGTGTCTGTAGGACAGAGCGATCACCAGGTGTGCGCCCCCCGTGGGTGCGTGCGGGAGGACGTTATATGGCGCCCTCCCAGAACTGGACAACTGCGCTGTAGCCGTCTATAGCATGGGGTTGGCAAGTGGTTACAGCCTGTGATTGGCCTAGCATGAGTGATCCAAATAGCTTTACAGCAATCACTTTAAAAGTCGCCCAAGAAATTGCACAGTCCTATGAAATGGTCACCAATCTTGAGATGTTTAGTAAAATAGGATGCTGGGTAAATGTTTACCAAACAAATATCTGGTAATTGGTTTGTGAAAAGCAAAATTTATTAAAAAAAAAACAAAAAAAAAAACCAAAAAAAAAACCACTGACATTGTGTACAAACATCTGCACAAATATTTTGATAAAAAAAAAAAAAACAAAAACCCCAAACTGCAACAGACACCATTTTATTTTCCAGGACCTCCGCTTTCAGAAAGTTTCAAATTTGGGAATTTTAAGTAATTTTCTAGCAATGCAAAGAAAAATGTAAAAAACACAAAGAAAAAAAAACCAACACAAAAAAAGAAGCTCAGATTTGAATACATGGGAGAACGGTCCGGATTGCTCTGGTAGGCAGGCAGTTCAATGGGGTTTGATGTACTTGGTCCTCATTACCCAAATCACAGTCCTCAAATAGGTGACAAAAGCAGTTACTGTCCCAACATCTACTGACCTTGGCTGTAGTGAGGATGCCGTCGTTGGTATCCGGGTCAGTGGTAATGGAGAAGAAGCTGGCCTCTGGGCCCCTAATCTTGTAAACGGCTCGCCAAGCGGGAGAATTCATGTCATCCGCATCCGTTACCGACAGTCGTTGAACCTCGAAGCCCACTTCATTTTCTGGCACCTGGGCCGTGTACTGCGACAAGAATGAGGAACCATCAGGAACCAAACAAGTCAAGAGGATTCTAAAGAGAAACTTCAACCAAACATTTAAAAATAGGAACAAAAAAAACTTGGACAGCTTGGAGAAGGGTTAGAAAATGTCTGTCCCCATTGGGGAAGTCTCCCTCTTCCTTCTCTCACTTCCTTTTATTTCACTTTTATTTTTACTTTTATTTCACTTCCTTTTAGTGAAAAGATAGCAGAAAGAAGGCGGCAATAAAACTAAAAAAAAAAAAAAATGTTCCACATCTTCTCCACTCAAAGGTCTGGCTGCAGTTCTACTTAAAAATAGTTCCCCATCCAGGAGCGGACTGACAACTCATGGGGCCCCTGGCCAATAGGGGATCATGGGGCCAGTGTCATTGCCCAAACTCAAAAAAGCCTATGGGGAGGAAAAAAAAAACCAAAAAAAACCAAAAGAGAGGGTACCAGGGGCATCTTATGGGGCCCCCTACAGACCCCGGGCCCTTGGGCAGTGCCCAAGTTTCCAAATGGCCAGTCCGCCCCTGTCCCCATCAGGAGAGTAAGAGTGCCAAGGCTGAACGTTTACATCAGTTCTACTACATCCGGGCACTGAAGCTACACCCATTACATTACGCAGTGCCTGCCTTGGACCTAGGTACAGGAGTCAGGGATGGGGTCTTCCATAAACACAGACATGTGGGGGGACGGGGGGGGGGGGGTTCTGCTATATGACAATGTCCCATTCAATTGTACACACATTTATTGGCAGTCTCAAGCATTTTGTTCTGAGGAACTATTCCCATCATTAGAAGTGGGAATGGAGTCAGAATGATTTTTCTCCCCTGGCTTTCCCAGTTCTTTCACCTGGTGATCCTGTCCATGACACTTCCTTTCCAAGGGTGACAACACACTCCAGTGTAGAGGAGCAGGGCTGTCACTCTAGAACAGAAAAGGAAACTATAGAGAGTCCCTAAAACCTCTCTAAAACAGCTCATTGATTGAGGTGGGGGGGGGGGGGGCCCATGTAGTCCGAACCAGTAGAAGAGCTACTGGAGCTCAAACTGCTGAAAAAAGTGAATTCTGGTTTTGATAGAAAGGTGTGAGAACACAGAGCATTGCAGCTTGTTGTGTATGAGGCTGGGTAGCCACAGCCCACTCAGGATGCCCATGCTGACCCGTATCCAAAGCCAAAGGTGCCTACAATGGGTATGTGAGCATCAAAACTGGACCACGGAGCAATGGAAGGTGGCCTGATCTGATGAATTCAAGAATGGTTTGGAGGAACACAATGGAGGTTGAGGTATCAACTTGGCCTCCAAATTCTCCATCCAATGGAGCATCTGTGGGATGTGCTGGAAGAAAGTCTGATCCAAGGTGGACCCACCTCCCAACTTACAGGACCTAAAGGATCTGCTACTGACATGGTACCCACAATTCAAAGCTCTCCTCTACCTCCATGCATTAGACAAACCACAGCCTAGCAACTTCCAAAATTGCCATATTATACATAGCAGGAAGTGTTGATGCGCTTGGCCAAGATACCACAGCATACCTTCAGAGGTCTAAGGGTGTCCATGCGTGGCCAGGTTATGGTGGGTGGTTGGGACTTTGTTAGTGTATACCTCAAAACACTTTCAATAGTAATAAACAGACCAAAAGGAACAAATCAGGTCATAGTAAGGGTTTGTATACATTAGGAAGAGTCACGTCTATTTTGGATCTACTTTAGTCCAGTCACCATTTTTGGTCAAACAAAGGACAGCTTGTACCCCTGAACTCCTTGTAATACCTTGACAGGATCGAATACTGGTGCGTTATCATTGGAGTCCGTGATCTGGATTAAAGCTGTTGCAGTAGTTGTCAGACCCTGGCCTTCCATATCTGCCGCCTGAACTAACAGGGTATATTCTGGAACTTTCTGGAGAAAAAAAAAAAAAAAAAAAGTTGACAATGAGCTGAAAAGTTTAGTTGACCAGTTTTCTTGCTCCAGTAGCAGAGTGAAGCCAAGGGCATGATGGGAAGTCCCTGGGCCACAGAATGTTCTCTGGATACCCAAGGCTGGGAAAGAACGCCGTTCATGCTCAGGAAATACGATGAACTCACCTCTCGGTCCAATCCAGCTGCAATGACGCTGATCAGCCCAGACTCGCTGTTGATGGTAAAAATCCCCGGCACTGGCTCCTCAGGGGTTTGCTTTAGAATGGAATAGCCAAGTATAGCGTTTGCGGTTGTGGGGTCGTCAGCATCCGTGGCGGTCACATTCATCACAGGAGTACCTGGTATAAGAGAGCCTAGAAGTGAATATCTCGCCTAGAATGGAGGACACTTTCCACTTTAAGAGCCTCAGAGGTTTACCACCCTTTAGTCCTACAAAAAAAAGTTAGCAGAATTTTTATTTTGTAAACTGGAAAGTGTGAGAATTTCTGAATACCATTTACAAATGGACTCCTAGGTGTCTTTCCTGGAAGGCAAATACGGACAGAAACCTTACAGGCCTACATATGGGTTCCAAACAGTCGTTGATTCATACCTTACTGAACCCAGAGGGTTAGTGTGCCAACCAGACAACCAGCATCATCTACAGAAAGGGATGGATGGTAGAAAGCCAACAATGTGGGGATAGAGGTCAACCAGGAAGGTCATCAACCCACAAAATTCATTGTATTATCACAGAAACAGGACGTCCAAGTGTGGCCCACCAGGTATAATGAATGAACATATACAACTTAAACATTTTTATTGTAACACTAAAACATAAAATTGTCCAAATAGATTTTTATTAAAAAAAAAAAAAAAAAAGTAACTTGTCTATTGAGTCTATGCGTTTCGCAGATGCTGCCCTTCAGGACTCTACTGCAAAAAGATAAGTTACTATCAGTCTTAATCTATAAATTGAAAAAATATACAAATTCAAAAACAGGAAAATCAGAAACAAGCCATACGAGTACAGATTGTGTAATATAAACCATTTACCGATCGTGTCAATACCTGTCTGAGGAAAAGGAAAAAAAAAATTAAAATACGTTAAAAATGTATGAATTTAATATTTAATTTTGTTTCCCTTTCCTGGGGCAGGTATTGTCAGTACTACATAAATCTACTGACATTCTGTACTCCCGGCTCGTTTGACGATTTTCTTGTTTGAATTTGTAGAAGGAAATATTTGTTTCGAGTTTCAAGACTGATATGTAACATTTGTTCTCTTTGAAAGTCCCGAAGAAGTGGAGTATCCATGAAACGCACTCAATAGGACAAAGTTACTTGGACAATTTCCTTGTCTTTTATTCATTGGATCGTCGCATGTATATGTACGTTACATCTGGTGGGCCATGCTTGAACCATTCAACGTGTGCTAATCCAATGGATAGATGGATATTGGACCCCAAACATCTCCTTAGAAAGGTTTACATTGACCTTCAATAATGCCCCATTGCAGCTTTTGTCTGTATAAAAGCAAAATCTAGAACAGAAGAACTCTGCTGGGAATGCCAACTCACCTGGCTGGACACCTTCCCTCACAAACCCCCGGAATACTTCCTGTGTAAACTGGGGTTTGTTGTCATTCTGATCAAGGACGTTGACTGTGATATTCATGGGATCTTCCACCTGCTGACCATTCTCCGAGACCGCATGAGAATACAGCTGCATCACAAAAGAAGACCGTTACTTATCGGTCACGGAGATTCCACAAGCAATGGTGCCGTCCATTGTCACGTTCTACCAGCCAGACATTGTATTCATCCGGAGGATACTCACGTCGTAGATGGCATATGTCTCTCGGTCCAAGGGGCCAGTCACCAGCAGCCAGCCAGTCTCCTTCTCTATGGTGAACACGCCCCGGAGGAGTGTCCGCACCCTGCCCGGTGATGCTGTAGAATATCTTCACGTTTTTATTGGATTTAATCTGGGTGGAAAAAAAAAAAAAAAAAAAAAAATTTACACCCACAGTTGATCCATACGAAGGCAAAACCCCCCCCCCCCCAGCAAAGTACGATCCGATTGGCTCCTGCAGGGAAAAAATTCCTTCCTGATCCCCCCGAGAGGCAATCGGATATTCCCTGGATCCCCTTCCCCTATAAATGTTCTATCCAGTTATATTCTGTGTATCCAAGAAAGAATCCAGGACTTTCCTCCAGCAATCCACTGAGCTGGCCACAACCAAGTCTGGAGGGAGTCTATTCCACATTCTCAGCTCTTACTGTGAAGAAACCTTTCCTCTCGGAAAGCTCTTGGATGTATGGCCAATGCTCTATGGAACTTTAAGATTTGTGTCAACCCAAACTGCCCAATACAAAATGGCGGTCACTCTTTTTTGATCCAACTTTTACTGGTTTTTGACTTCCTAAAAAGGCTTAGCAAGAAGACTGGAAAAAGTCCCCCCCCCCCCCCCCCCCCCCCCCCCCAAACACCTGTACATAGATCTCCTGATCTCTGTTCTGCCCATTCTCTACTAGGAATGTCAAGTTTTTTTTGTTTTTTAATTCATCCCAAAAATGTGTCCAGCTATGTCCAAAAAAATAAAAAAAAAGTTTATATTTTGTATATCTAAAGCCAAAAGTTGTCTTTCCCTCATTTCAGATAGAATAGGAAAGGTTAAAATCCAAGAGGCTTTTTTCGCCATCGGTGCTCCACTGGACAGCTTCCCTTCACTTCCTGTCCCATAGAAAGAAGAGGAAGTGAAATGTCTTTCCAATGTAGAGACAGAAGCAGTTTCATAAAATTTGTGCCAGAGGGGATATAGATATATAGATATAGATATGTATATATAGTGCCCCCCCCCATTGGAAGATTTCTCCTCCACCCTTTTACACCAGGTGACAGGAATCTCCAGGACAAAAGCAGGCGCTCCCCCAAGGGGGCACTAGAGAAAGATGACCCAAACCAGGCTGTGGCGTTAGACTAGGTTCACACCTCTGCAGGTAGCCGTTGATGCATTTTGCGGGGTCCCCTCCCCCCTCCTAAAGACGCAATGCATTACAAAGGTGTGTGGTCATGCAGGAGAAACCAGCAAAAAACGCATCGAAACAAGCACTGCATATTCTGTGTTTCTGCTGCGTTTCCATTGAAAAAAATGGAACCAAACAACCTGCTGTAGGAAAAAGGTTTGACCCGTTACAAAAGCCGCACCGGTGGAGAAAAAAAAAAAAAAAAAAAAAAAAAAAAAAAAAAAAAAAAAAAAAAACACTGCACACAGGCGTGACCATGACACATAGGAAGCCATGATAATTGGACTGCAGTGCGTTTCTGCAAACCTGACAACATATAGGTGCGAACCGGGCCTTAGACAACTGAAAACTCTGCCAAAGGGCGACTTGCTTTGGTTGGAGTGGGACCCCACATTGCAGGCATGTCCTATGAGGACCATCAAAGCAAACCTCATCAGTATCAAAGCAGCAATGGGGAAATATGGAGTCTTCATAGCCTCTGCAACCAGCAATGGGCCGAGCCTGACACTTACCTGCACCAAGCGCTTTGGGAAGGTCCCCCTGCCGTTTTCAGACACCACCTGGACGGGTGGGACGACCCAATCTCTCTTCCTTCTCTTCAGTCCAGCCTGCTTCTCCGGGAAGACCAGCAGCGGGTGTCTGCCTTTACGATGGTGTTTCTGCACAAAGAGTTCATTGTGAAACCTCAAATATAGAAACGGACTCCCCCCCCCCCCCCCACAACCGGTTCCCTGCAGATATATTGGCACTACTGCCGCCATGTTGTCAGATGAAGTACCAAAGTACTACTGCGGAGATCTTACCACCCAAAGCTGCCCGTTACTTGGGAAGTACAAAACGCAATTCTGCCCAAAGCCAAATACCTCTCTAGATTTGTGGAGCCTCTTGATGGTAACAATCGTGGAGTATTTATTCCCCTGTGAATCCCACGTTGTGGCCGGGAACTTTATTTCGTGCCCATGAAGCTTGACGTGTCGTTTTGGGATCAAGCTGCCATCCTCTGTCACCAAGAACCGAGGGTCTCCCACATCGTATCTGCTGTGCTTTCGTGTCGCACAGTCTATAAAATCCACTGAAAGGGAAAAAAAAAACAAAAAAAAAACTTAAAATTGTGCAAATTATTGTAAAAAAAAATGCTGGATCAAAAAAAAAAAAAAAAAAAAAAAAAAAAAAAAAAAAGGCTCCAGGGTGGTTTATACCCACAATAGCCATCATAAAGCAACTGGCTGACCAATTGGCACCTTTACCAGAAGGATGAACACATTTTCACCGAGAAGAGCCTACATGTAGAGATTCGGTTTTAGTTCTGCAGTCAGCCCCTGGCTTGTGAGGTATAGATACTTCTGAAGGGAGACCTCCACGCCATCATACCCAGATCTGTTCCTCTCCAAATGGGCGTTTGTCCAGCTCCTCCAGTTGCATTCCCAATAATGCAAATCCAGAGAGTTGGAGCCCCACACTTGGGCAGAGAAGAGCAGATGTGCAAAGCTCACAACAGGAGGAGATCAAGAAACTCAGAAGAAGTTGAAGGATATCCTAGCTCAGGGTCTCTCAACTAGAGTTCCGCCAGAGGTTGCTAAGGGTTCCATGAGCAATTCCTACCTCTCAGATCAGTTCCCACTGACCATCACACGAATGTATCATGAGTTGTAGATAGTCATTTATAGCTGGGGTTCCCCGAGATCAGGAAGTTTTTTCTAACCAAAAGTGACATTGTGAGCTTTCCTAATGATACCGAATCATAGAAGAGGTTTGTGTAAAGCTGCTCTAGAACAGGGCAGGAACCCCCCCCCCCCCACATGACCCCAAAAAAAACCCACACATCTTCCCAAGTAAAAAAAATAGTCAACTGAAAACCTTCATGAACCGGTTGCCATGTCGTCTACCTATAAAGTGATAATCCTTACAGTATGTGGACCACCATTTTCAGTATCACCTTCTCATTAGCCTTTTCCAGCTTCATTTATAAACATTGTGAAGCAGAATAAATAAATAGGTGAAAGTTTTAATCCACCGTTCCTAATGTGACCTCAAAGTAGTAACGAAGGCCTCGGATAGGCTGTAATATAGTAAAGTGGCCCCACAAACCGGTTGGCACCATTTATGGTGGGGGGAGGATTGCTAAAATCTATAGGTGTGCAGTCAGTCTGGGGTGTGTCAGTCTAAAATATTGGGAATTCTGCACATTGATATAAGTTACGGAGCTTTTATATGTGTACAACACGGGGTCCCGAGGACTCCTGAGGTTCTATGGGCATTGCTAAAACATAAAAAAAATATAGTAAAACACAAAAAAAAGTTTTACATGAGAAGCTATGTGATGTAACCATTTGGTGGTGCAAGTTCTGCGACGCTTTGTATCACGTGACACCCAAAAAGCGACATTTGATTGTGGTTGTAAACGGCTATCCCAGGATTAGGATATTTTTCACCTGTTTTATAGTGAAAAAAAAAATCTATTTTTTTTTTTTTTACCTGCTCAATGGGGGTGGGCAGGAGGGAGGACATAAGTGGACCTATCAAGTCAAGCTCTGGACTGACCCTTTAACCAGGAAATGCCGCTACGGCCAGAACTCCCAAGACTACCAGTAAGCAGCATTTTGTTTCCATAAGTGTGTGAGGCTCATAATTTGCAAACGTCGGCATGCTAGTAGAAAGCTTGTGAAATCTATACGGTGCCCCCCCGTCTGCCAACATTCAGATCAGAACTTGTCTTTAGGAAGACTCCGGGCAGCCGGGACCATGGCTGGGAACGAGGCTCAATCTCAGGAGAATGATCTGTAGAGGACATTATAGAATATAGGTGTGCTGTGCAGCTACATACATCAGATACAAATCAGCATGGTAGACCTGATCCATGGGGGTGGCGGTGTGGGGGGGGGGGGGGTATTTACTAAACTGGAGCATGCAAAATCTGAAACCAAAAATAGAAACCAATCAGTCTCCAGGCTTCATTGAACAAGCCAAGAAAGGTAGAAGCCGATTGGCTCCCATGCAGAGCTGCACCAGATTGAGTGCTCCAGTTTCAGTAGATCTCCCCCATGGGTGTGCAGCGATCTCAGCCAACAAGATCATTTTGGTGGCACTTGTCTGGTCTGGATGTTACACAATGATAGTGCGACTAAACCGGTCTATCCTAGGAGCCGATACAGGATATGAGTGTTCAGCCGAATGACCCAACACCTAGATGGCGGGTACAGAGGGTGTGACGGAGACCATAAAATGACTGGACAATACCAGTGTGGAAGCAGAAAATTCTATCACCTCCGGGAACAGAGATGTCAAGGTAATTAGCCAATAGATTTGTTGGTTTTGTTTAACCATCAGGCCCCCCTTTCCCCATCCACACAAAGTGGATGGGGGAATCTTCCCACTGAGCTATTGTATGGCAGCGCAGAGACTCCCCACCATCAGAACACATTGATCAGCATTGCAGGCTATAGCCAGCAGTGCTGATTGAGCAGAGAAATTCTGATAGGGCGGATGTGCAGAAGTCAATCGGTAGGTCAATCATACGTGGATTGAAATACAGCCCGTTCAGCGGGGGAAGAAATTCAATCCCTGTATGGCCGGCTTTAGAGATTGGACAACTGAACCAAGTGCAATGATTGGTGGACGTTTTGGGGTATTCTAGTAATGATACAATATGGCTTCCATGATGGTCATGCTTGCTCTTCCCCATTTGTGTTCTGG